GTAAATACCTGCCCTAACAGTGCCAAATATTTTTTTTTGGCGAATATCTTTCATCAGCATATTTAACTTAACCTTAAAAATGCGTGAAACAATGTCAGGATGATCTTCAGGGGCTAAACCTTTGCTCTGCACATGCCTTAAAACTTCAAGCCATCGAGGGTTGCAGGTAAAAGTTATGAAAATATTAGGATAACCTGCCCATCTACATATAGCCATTGCATCTTGGTAATTTTGAATCATATATCGTGCACCACCAGTAAAAGATGAGGGTAGGATAATACGTTGTCCTTGCATTGCTGCATTATTTTCACCACGGAGCAAAGCATCATTAAGGCCATTATACAAGTCACAACGCAATTCTTTTTGATGGGTGCGAATGTAATTGAGCCTTGAGTACTCAACCATTGTGTATGCATCAACAACAAATTGTTGAAATAATCGCTTTGCATGTAAAATCACCGAGACTTCATGTTGTCTATCATGTATTCGATATGCAAAGAATTGTCTCATAGTAACGTATCTTTTATCATCCTCCCCCTCCTCATCATCATCCTCTTCAGCCATATCATATCTAGCCAATAAAATATCCTCCCTATATCCATCTTCGCCGTACGGAAAGAGCAAAGGATACTGCAAAGGCAAATATGATGCATGCAATTCACTAATTCGTTGTAGTTTTTTGCTTTTAGTTTGCACAATTATGTCACGATCACCCATCGCTTCATGAAAATCTCCAACTAATAAAGCAGCAACTTCTGTGACAGTTGGTAGTGAATATGTCCTTGCATCATTTTGCCTACGGCCTATAAGCTTTAGTCTAACATTTGAATGCGAAGCATGTGTGATATGCTCTCTAGCCATTCGAAAAGACTTTGCTAGAACGTTATGCTTATCCAATATCTTCTGCAAGTCTCTCACAATGTCATTATGAAAGTTGCGTGATCCTGTGCATCGAATACTAAAAATAAAGGGCATAAGTTTTTTATTTCATAGTTAAAATAAAATAAAAAAAGATATGCACAAATAATAATATAATGACTTACCGATTCGATAGAATTCGATTATCCACCTCATTCAATGTGTCATAGATATACAATTGTGCAAATCTGGGCATTTTTCCTTCTGGAGGAAGCAGCGTTCCACTTTTGTGATGATTTTGGCCATGTAATTTGAATACATCATTTAAACTATAATCAACATCTCCGCCCATTGAAGTAAAACAAAACATATTATTATATGCGCGTATATTTTGTCTAAAATGGCTGCTTTTTGTGTCATTACCAAAGTAAAGGTCAAGCAACTTTTGGGGTGGAGTTAGTAGTTTTGGCAAAACAACTTTACCTCGACCACAACAACCAGAATATGTGGGACTATATTTTTTCCGACTTGTAGAAAGGCGCTCTACAAACCAAAAGAGTGCACCACAATGTTCACATGCACATATTGCATCATCAATGTCCCAAAACTCTACAATGTTATTACCAATTAAGTATAATGTGGGAGAATAAATCATAGATAACAACACATACCTTTGTCATATGAAGACGTAGTTAAAAAATTACCATTGCATTGAACAAATGTTGTAGTTGGAATTTCTTGAGCATCTGTAGATTATAGCAAATTTAAAAACTAATTTTCGGAAAAAAATATACAAAAAGTAATAAAGGCAATGGTCAGAATTTGTTTACTAACATTGATGTATATCTATGTTTTGTACGTTTTGGAACCCTTCATCTAAGATAATGGGAACATCAGATAGAACATGTTCATTATCACTCATAGCGTCATTGTGTGAAGATCGGAGATCTTCAAAGGATAATGTGTTCTCCTTACTTTCCCCTGCAGGTAATACATTATTTGAACTTCATTTTTTGTAAAAATATTTTCAATTTTCCAGTATAAGTTTGACATGTTTTCACAAGTGTATGTGACATACCATTTTGTAATGAAGTAGAACTTTGTGTCCTTAATGAGGGTTCAATCACTTGCTTCCGGCAATCAAATATTGGGTCCACAACAATTTGCATGTCAACTACCAATGCAAAACAATTATTTCATTTTAAAATATCTACAGTTCTATCATTGTTATCATTATAGTAATAATTGTTGAAATATTGGAATAATAATATTGCTCATTGAATTATGAAGTACATGATAGAGTATATATAGGAGAGACTTCTAACACAACTAGAAATAGAGAATGGAAACTAACTAACATACAACATCTACCACAAATAGGATTAGGAAGCTGACTAACAATAAAACACTACCATAACCAATACTACAATAAGTACTATTAGTATTCTTGTCTAACATCCCCCCTCAAGCTGAACTCTGGCTGAAGCAAGAGGAAGCTTGGACACTAGCTGGAAATTGGAAACTTTGAGAAAAGAGAAGTCTAACATGCGCCGGTGGCTGCTCACGTTGTTGGAGAAGAGAGAAGTGAGACGCGCGCCGGTGGCTGTTGACGTCGTTGGAGAAGAGAGAAGTCTGACGTGCGCAGGTGGCTGCTGACGTCGTTGGAGTGGAGAGAAGTCTGACATGCATTGGTAGCTGCAGACATCGTTGAAGAAGAGATAAATTGACGTGCGCTGGTAGCTGCTAACGTCGAAGAAGAAGAAGAGAGAAGGTTGATGTGCGCTTGTAGATGCTGACGTCGAAGAAGAATAGAGAAGGCTACTTGAAGTGCTTGTTTGACTGAAGATCTTTGACATTCTTTGTCTTTTTCTTGGATCCGAGCAATGCCCTATTTCCTTTTTGCAGGGGTGCGTTGTAGAGGTCTTCTTTCCTCTTTCACTACTTCCCCTCTTGGCTTTGCTTTTGTGCTGATTTACTTTGAATTTTTGTTGGTTGAATAGAAGAGAAAAAGAAGGGAGATTGATGATTAGAATGAGTGATTTGAGAGAGAAAAAAGTGGGTTAAGAATTGTGATGGAAAAAGAATTTGGGTTTTAGATTTTGATATGGTGAATTAGAGAGAAACAACAATATTTTTTTTTCTTTTTTTGAGAAGATAGGATGATCTGAGAGAATTTGTGAGGAATTGGGGTTTTTTTTTTTTGAAGAACCATGGAGATGACAAGAGATAAGTTCCTCCTTTGATAGTTTTTTTTTGTGTGATTTCAACAAGGGTTTTTTTCTTCTTTTTTTCATTTGAGTGGTGAAGTTGATTTGAGGATAAAGAAGGAAAAGAAAATAGAGCTAAGGTGAACAGGGTGGAGCCGCCGTCGCCGGAATTACCGGCGACAGCGGCGGGAGCAAAGAACTCTTTTAGGTCACCAAGAGCGGTGACTCTGATACCATGTTGAAATATTGGAATAATGGAATAGGAAGTTGACTAATAATAAAACACTACCATAACCAATACTACAATAAGTACTATTAGTATTCTTGTCTAACAATAATAAATTGTATTATGATATGCTTTGAAAAGTGAGGGTACTTACAATAATTTATATCAGTTTTTGATGTGTCTGGAAATTCATCATCTAAACGTATTGGTGTATCTATGAATTCCGAAGTCAAGCAATTTGCCATGCAAAAAAGCTTTGAGAAGAGGTGCTCTGATGAACTTGTCTGACCTACGTACAAATTAAAAAAGATTTATGTCTCAACAATTACATGCGCATGTACATTAAAATGGTTGGATGAATTTTTTTTTGTTTTTACCAATTTTAATCCTTTCAAAATATGTATCTTAGAATGATAAAAAGGAAAAGCGGAGAAAGTTTTGTAATGGACTTAATTGTCACATAAATTGTGTATCTATCACGGGCTTTGTGGTTTAATCTATTTGCAAGCATTTGAAATACATTTCCAAATGCTATTTGTATCATTAGACTTGGTTGGTCTCATATTTATGATACCTCTTCGTGTGCAGGTTGCAAAGATGAGGGATATAGGAGAACTGCTAGAGAAAAGAGGAGAGAAAAACATTGGGCTATCAGGTATGTGTGGCAGACATTTACCCATCTTCACACTATCAATTGACTAAGCATTAACTTCCTTTAAGAAATTGAGGTTTGGTGTAATTGGTATTTGTTTCTGTATTTCATTACTGTTTTATCTAGGGGCTCAAACAAAATAACTTTTAAAACCAGTTCTAACATGAGCAATGTAAATCATTTTTCTGAATCAAATGATGTTATTTACATATTAATGGTGGTGTTTATGATTAATTTGAAATAAATTAATTTAGAATGAAAGGGTAATTAAGTGTTACTAATATAGGTAAGTGTTATTTGTTAAGTTGTATGTTGGCATGAAGCCTTTTTTATTTAACATACACTTTATATGTTATAGGTGTTTATGGAGTTCTCGCAAAATTTGTTGATGGATCATGTATTCAAATCCATGTGTGTCTTTCCACCTGGTACTTTGTGTGATGTGTTTTGCACTTTTAAAATAGTTTAAGGCGTACAGTATAAATCAATTAAGGAGAAGTGGTGTTTGTTTACTTCTAAGCTGGTAGTGAACCTATATGAATTGCTACCTTTTTTTAAATTTATAGTGCCTAATCAATTAAACACACTTTTAATATTGACTTGATAAACTTTATGCGTTTAAGGTCTTTATTGAGTTCTTTCAAAAAAGTTAATTGGCAGATGATGGCATCAAGAAAACGTATTCAGGGATTATTTTTGCAATATTTTTTTGAAGGATGAGGTATTATATTTCAGGTGTGTCTTCCTTCGTGGAAGTTTGTGTCATGTCGTTTGCACTTTAAAAATAGGTTAAGCCATAGAGTATAACTCAATTAAGTATAAAGTGGGAGAATAAATCATAGATAACAACACATACCTTTTTCATTTGGGTATGTAATTTGAACTCTGTTTTGATGAGATATTTTTTGTGGAGATTTTAAAGCCTTGACAATCTGCATGAAAAGTAAATATACAAATTAAGTTTTCAAAAAATTTCGGAAATTGTCTGGTTTTTTTAGCATGGCTTATTTAATTGCTCAAATATTTATAAAAGTAGTTCAGTTTATTTTTTTTTGTAGTAGCAGGCGAAAGTTTAAGCATTAATTTTGATCATCTTACTCTTGTAATTCGTAATAGATAAGTCGCATTATTGAATTAAAGTTGGCAGCATTGCATATAACATTCTTTTGTCATCATTAACAACAACAACAACAACAACCCAGTTAAATCCCACAAGAGTAGGGTCTGGGGAGGGTGTGTGTACGCAGACCTTGCCCCTACTCGAAAGTAGAGAGGCTGTTTCCAAAGAGACCCCCAGCTCAACGTCGAAAGTTGCATTACTTGACTAACTGCTACTTCATTAATTAAAGAAGCGCAGACAGTTTAGAGATCCATTTTGATTTATTCCATCACACCCCAAAGCCAAAAAATGGTGAAATTTTGGCTCCATCGGAGATGATGGAAACGCTTTTTGTCATCATTAAGTTAACAATATATGAAGTAAAACATGAGAAATGAACTACTGTAAGTTTAATTTAACTGACAAGTAACTTTAGACATTACAATAAGAAAGTAACATAAAGTACTTTTAAAAAAAAAAGTAAAAATAAGAAAGTCATAATCTGGCCCATTTCTCTAAGTGCGACTTAGTCCTTTTCAATCTTCACACTCACTTTTGGTTTCTTGGACAAGTGAGTCTGCATATCTTCAAATTCCTTGGTAAGATCTCGTTTCATATTAGCACTCAGACAAGTGTAGGTAACATCACTGCCATGCTTCTTAGGATCATCGTTTTTGGTGGATTCCTCAGTTGCAACTAAGTCAATTGTCTGTGTGATGGCTTTGTTTGGTTTACTGGTAACAGAGTCCTACATTAAATAATATGTTGTTAGTTTAAATGCTTATAAAATAAGGCAGAAAGACTGATGATACCTGTGTGCTAGAAGTGTCAACAATATATCGTCCCAAAATATTTTGGTCAGTAATAATCTGCTGGACTGAATAGGTTTTTTCAGAGAAACTGGATTCTGTCTTTTTGACATCCAACTCTAACATGAGTGGCTGATCAATGATGGACTTAAACACATTAGGGATTTGTGAGTCATCACCCTGTAAATACTCTTTAAATCAGTATTTTTAAAGAATAAGTACTCTTTACATGCAATTTATCTGGTTTTTTTAACTTACAGTATCCCTTAAAAAGTCTTCTGCTTGTTTTCCAAAAAGGGATATACAATGCTTGACCCATAACATCAATGCAAGATTGTCCGTATTGTCAACCACACGTACTTTGACTCGATACCTATTTTGTTATCAACAAAAAGGGGATATTTGCTTCAAAGCTTATGTATTTGGTGCTATTAAAGAAATTTCAAAGAATATGTTACATGTACCTCATGACAAATCCTGTGAGGTGGCAAGTGCCACAAGTATAGATACCATTTGTAGGGGATAGCTTCTTCGAGCACTTCTTACATGATGTGTAACACCAAGCTCCATGCTGTTCAAAACCAATAACCTTACAAAGAATCCATGCACGGCCCTGCTGTGAATATGTGTGAATAATGTTAAACACTACTACAAAGAACATTTAGCATAAAGGTACTTAACCTGGCGTCATATGTATTTTGTCACACTAAAAATAAGAGTTTAAACATATATTAAGACATAATGTATACATATATACCTCATAGTTCTCAGTGATTTGTTGTAATGTCTTTATCTCAATGCTTGAGGGTTCTGATTTGGATGTAGATGCACTGAAGCTTAGTACATTTTGGGGTTTCACTCCCTTAGCCTTTAAACTGTAGCATATTTGTTGCTTAATCACATAAATGTATGAAAGCAATGGTAAATTACAAAGTGCATACAAATATATAAAATACTTCTTACTGTTTTTTGAACTCCAATATAGGCAGGAAATCCTGATCCAAAATGAGTTTTGTAACATCATAAAAGGTCGAGGCCTTGTTCATATCTGCATAACATTTAATGTGTTAATCAAAATTCATGTCTTATGTTTAAACTGTGCAGAATTTGTAGGAATACCGTTGTAAACAGCTCCTTGACAGAACTGCATAATAGCCACCGTCGGATGCAGTGGTTGTTGGTTGAGACAATCCAAGAGTTGATCCACATATGAGCTCCATAATGTGCAGGATATTTTCTCACCACTAAATGTAGAGGTAAGTATTAATAAAATAAAAATATTGTGCAAGGTAAATCAATTAAAAAAATCTGTATGAGGTGTACTCTAAATCTTCAAGCCAAATATCCATCACTCTAACTTTGGTACCACTTTTTCCAATCCTTTCAGTTTGGCGGTTGATCAACATGCAGTAACCCAATAACATCTAAAATGACATAAGGCAGGTTTGTCATTATTAAGACTTGTTTTTTCAAAGGATAATATTGTGATAAATTGAATGATAGACACTTACCAAACATGGGTCGATACTGAATATCTTTGGCTGCATTGAGGGCTTTAAAATTTTCAAACTTGAACATTATGTCAGGGAAATCTTCATCGTTGACATGTGTTATCACTGTGTCTTTAACAAATGACAGTTTGTATAGATGGTCAGTCAAATTTTGAGTATTCTTTGACACAATGGGATTCTCTATTCCATGCACTTGTCCCTCTTTTAATAGAGGCTTGAAGTCTGGGATCAAATGTTTTTCACAACATGCATGAATACGATTTCCCTACATATTAGAAACGATATCAGTATTGCATACATGAAATTCAAAGAATAAAAATATGTTGGTTTCTCTACATATTATAAACGATATTAAGAATTGCACGAATGAAATTCAAAGTATAAAAACATGTGGATTTTAGTTGAAACATAAAACCTGCGCATCTTGGAAAATAGCTTCGTGTGCATAGATTGTGCTCGGTGTAGTCGTCCTCGTCTTACGATCGTAGCTTCGTAAGAGTCTTAGTTTCACAGCATCCTGATGCCTCGCTGGATGCAGCCTCTTGAGAGGGACCCAATGGGGAGACATCTCGTTTTACTGGAAATTGTGAATATACTCAGAATAAAGATGATGAACTATATATACTGTTGCAGGGATGCCTTCATGTAACCGCCAGGTTCTTCAAAAAATCAATTTCCGGCAGTTTCACAATCATCGTGGGAAGCATGTTTCGCAGTTTGTGGTGTCGTGGGTGGGAGATTGCGCAGGGTGGGTGTAGGTTTTTTTTACGCGGGTTATATTGCCACGTAGTTAAAATTGGGCCGTAGATATGTTTAAATGTCATTAAAATTGGACCTTTGATTTTGGATTTTGGCGGGTAAATTAGGCATTGGATTTTGATTCGATTTTTATATATACTAGTACTTCACCCGTGCGATGCACGGGAATATATTACTCCCTCCGTCCGGAAATAATCTTCTCGTTTCTCCTTTTTCCCCGTCCGGAAATAATCTTCCCATTTCTAATTTTACCCACAATCCTTCCAAAAATACCCTTATCATTTAATTTTCATTTACTCCCCCAAACCATCCCACTTCCCCACCCAGCACGCATTACTCTCTTTCTAACTCCCCACCTCCCAAATTGCACTCATTCACTCATCTCTGATCTTATCTTCTTCCTCTCTTCGAAAACCATTCCTCTCCCTCTAGATCTACATCTCTTTCATCCGCATGACCTATTCAAAACCACACGCATATAAGCACAACATGACCTCAGTGCTAGATTTTTTGTCGAATTTGAACTTTTTAGGATTAAGATTAAGAAACTTTGGTCATTAATTAAATAAATTTATATTAGATATTGATACAAGAAAAAATTTGTTAGACTTACCATGTAGTTTTCTCTACCCGTTATGCTGAAAAAATTTGTTAGCCACCATTTTAGGCTGAAAAAATTTAAAAATACCTTATTACGATATTGAAATAAAAGGAAAATTCAAATAAGGCTAGGTATTGGATTACTCGATATTATTTTAAGGATCATGAAATACTACCTGAAATATTAGCCATGTTTTTAACATCTTACATAGGTAAAAGTAAATTCTGACATCCTCAACTATAGTAAAATTAAATTCCATATCATCTATGAAAATAATGAAGGTAACAAAACAAATCATCTTGTAGTAGTATAATAAGGAAAAGAAAGCCTCAAAAAGTTTCTGTACAATTCACTGCCTTAGCTTGAACGATCATATAAAAAAGTTAAAGGTTAATGTAGGACTAAAACTAACATAGTGGAGATAGACAATGACAATCCAACAGCCCATAGATAGTGGATTGTCATTGTCTATCTTCAATCTGTTGTTTTGTGGTTATATGCAGTCACAAAGTAAATAACATAGCTCATAGATAGTGGAGATAGACAATGACAATCCATTGGAAGCCACAATTTTGCTGTTTCTTGGGGGAGATATGTTGTTCCCAATGGTTTGGACTTTGGAGTTGTCTGGATGCTGACAAGTTCTTGGTAACACTCCAAGATAGTGAACGAAATTGGGTTAAAGATTTATTACTGTTACTATAATTCCTTTGACGCCCGAAAAACGGTTTTTATGAGAAATGGATGTATTGTGAGACTCTATCTCATCAAGCACACTTATAGCCAAATCCACCAAGGCCTTCTTTGCTCTGCGAAACTGGCCTTCGCCCAGACTGATGGTTATTGTCAAATGCGCACAGCATGATCTCCAGATGCCTACAGTCCATAGGTAAGCTATAAATTCAAAGAGAAAAAATGCAATTCTTTCATACACGATATGAGCAGTGTATAGTCTCTGAAACACTTTCCAGGACCTGTTCGTCCAGAATGGCCAGCTACGATTTGCATGAAGTATGTATGTTTTCATCTGTTAAATCTTTAAAAGGATCAATCTCCAGCAAAATATACCAAGAATAGTAATGTGAATTGTGAAATTGTATGGAATAAACTAAGCTCAAAAACAAAACCAACAACAGCGACAACCACCCAGCATGATCCCCCACTCCATCGTTAGACCCTTGATACATTTACCGCTCCTAAGGACCAATGGTAATGGACCATATTGCCAAGCAATCCATTTTTTTAAAAAAATTGTTTATACGAAGTGACATTTTCAAATCATAATACAAAATTGAGAAATTCTTTAGAAAAAATATAGTCTACTCACAAAACTTGGTCCTAGATGGGTTAGGAAAGTGGACTGCTTCCCCTGCTACTCCAAATCAATCCTCCATACCCATTCACTAATTCAAATTAAAAAATCAAATTATATTCACCCCCTACATGAACAACACAAAAGGGTTTCAAACTGAGAAAAAGATTTACATTAATTCTACTAAGATGTTAGAAGAATATTTACTGGAGTGTGCAGGATGAAAAAAGAAACACTAATGATTTCCAAAACCAACACCAGCGCCATGCCAGGTTTGCTTTCCAGATGAGCTCTCTGCACTAACAAACAGAAACCAACACAATTTATAAGAGTGATTTAGAAGGAGAAAAAGAAACATCAGAAAATAATAGAGAAGAAGGGATTTTTCATAACTTGCTTTCTCATCGCACAACACAAGGGATTTTTCTTAAATTGATATTTGGAATTTTTTCTTTTTTAAAAAATGATAAAATTGCAAGTATTAAAGAATCAAAGGCCAATCACACAAACACATAAGTACTGACCTCATCAAATTCATTTCTTAGCAGCATTTTACCAACTTTGGTAATGAGAAATTGTAAAACTAATGTGTGAACATTTGATAGAATAGAAGGGAAAAAAATAAGTACTTAGCCATCTCTGACGATACTTTTATGTTGGAAGAGAGATGACATAGTTGTGCTTTTTATAAGTTTCGTGAAGTACAAGAGCTTGTCATCGAAGGACGTGCTTAATTGGATGTAAGTAAACAGATATTTTGAAAAAAAATGTAGATACTCATGGAATTGAAGTAAATATGTTGCAGATTTTTTAAAATAAAAAGTAATTCATATCAGATTTTCTACGAATTCAGCATATAAAATTCCAAAATCAGACCCTAAATGTTGTTCCTAAGCAAAGATACTAATGATGATTCATATTTCAAGCATATACACTTTAAGGGATAAAAACAACATTACACACAATAAAAAAATTGTGCAGAATTGTGAAGAATTAGGCAGCATAGGTTAGATTTTTTTTAGCAAAATCAGCACACAATGCTCACAGATTAGACCTTACATTTCATATTTTACATATAAATTCATTGTTAAACAAATTTTAAAGAAATAGTTATAACTTTAAGGAACATGAATCAGCATGAATATTCAACCAAAACAGCGTAGATCTTAATCCAAAATTTCGAAATTGAAGCAAATTGTCTTTAAAAAATTAAGAAACTCAACTTAAGAAAAGAAAAATTTTAAAGAAGAAGATCGACTTACAGAGTTCTCTGATGCTAGACACCAAAGATATCCTTAATCTTAAAAGCAGGTCGTTGTTATCGCTAGGTTTGCAGCCATCCTGTTCTTCATCTAACGATGGGTTTGTTGTCGGCGATTGAGTCAGAGGCACGCTTCCCGATTAAAAGATCTGCATCGTTATTGTCAGGGAGTAGGATACTGATGGGGGTCGGCAGTTGAATTCCGATTGACGGTGTTGTGCGATGGAGAGAATGGGATGCAGATCGCAGGGATGATGGAGGTGTGCGTTGGCGAGAAGTTTTTCAGAAGAGTCGCTTAAAAGTCTAGAAATTCTTTTGGATCTGAAATAAAATCAATGGTTAGGATCTTTCAATTTTTTTTATAAAATTGAAATTGGGCCGTTGATTATTACTTGCGATCAGGATTTATTCAATTTTTTCTAAAGTGAAATTGGGCCGTTGATTTCTGATTTTGGCGGGAAAATTGGATTTGCAATTTCCATCCTTCTTTTATATAGATAATAGATTAGTGCACACTTATCTATTTCCTCTGTATCCACCATCTCAATAATTCACTCCCACCACCAACCGCCCTCGTTAAAAAAAGAAGATTAAAAAATCAATTAAATATAGTTAAATCTAAAATGACAATAAAACTGGAATAAATGTATCCTCACAGTTCTCAAGACTAGCAGAATAATTATCTAGAAGGAAATAAATTAATTTATAGTGTTAGTGTCTAACAAAAAGGGATGAAATCCATTTCAAGGTACATTCAAAGCTTTTATCTTACGCGTGACCATCTTTCATCGTCGTTGTCGAAAATCAAATCTAAAAAACCCTAATTTTCACGATAAGCCCCTTCTTTTGTCATTACTCGGCCTTGGCCCAAAGTAAGTATGAAGACTTTACATAAAGCCCGATGCACAAGATATCCTTTGGAGTTGTGAGGTTGATGGAAGCGAGCAGCCCACCTAAGACTATAATATGAGATTTCAGTATAGTTAACGGCCTGGTCCAGGAAATGTTTGGCTAGTGGTTTTGCTTTTGAGCCCAATCGGATCTGCCCAATGTGAATTCCAAACTGGGCTTTATTTCATCCCATCCGGAGCTCATGCACCTATTGGCCCTCCCCGAATCCCATTCCTGCAATCATTGGCCAATGATAAAAAATTCCAACTTCTTTTATAACAAAAATTTCAACTAATATACAAAAATGAATATGTTAATTTACTCTAAGATGACACCAAAGTTGACATCAGAGATAATCATAAGCAGACAGTTATTGTTCATAAGAAATTAGTGTACGTAAAACACTGATGATGTCATCCTATACGGATATCATATCTGGTGCAATTATAGTATGACGTATTCCAAAACTACTATGGACAAAAGCACACATAAAATAAAAAAAACTTACATGAAGTAGAACACAAGTGTTATTGTAACACCAAGCTTGACATCAAGATCAACATCTTTAGGTTATTTAATTTTTGCATATACAATAATTATCAGTAAGAAATTATTATTCGTGAGACACTAGTGATGTCAAACTTGATGTAAGCTAGGGTGTTATACTAACATGGTAAATAATGAAAACAAAATAGTATACCTGAATGTGATGAAATGTTGGAAAGGAAGAAGCTCTCAAACTACTTGCTTCTAACAATACATCTCCACTACACAATGTTTGTACAAAGCATATTAGCTAGTTCTCAACATGTCATAATAACAATGGCTAACAACAATAATATATTAGAGATGAAGATAGAGTGCCTCTTTGGTAATAGTTTTAGTCACATTTTTGCTCATAGAAGTACTTAATAAACTAAGTATAAAAAAATTAGCTTAAAGAAAATGCAAATATGCAATCTTAATCAAGGAAAAAATATTGGTTAGATGCCTTTTTTTATTTTTTAAGTGATGCGTTTATATGTGCTATTTAAAATAAAATTAGTTGAGAATATTTTGGTCAGATTAAGTTTTAGATAATTGAGAATTAGTTTGGAGCAAAATATAATTCTTATCCTTAATACTACCTCCATCCCAAAAAGATTTACACGTTTTGACCAAAGTTGAACTTAAGGAAGGGATAATTTTGTGTTGACTTTCCAAAAATACCCTTGATGTGATGGGTAAAAGTAGGATGTGATGTGTAGATTATTAGAAAAAAGGTATAATGTGATAGGTATGATTTGAAAAAGTAAAGGGTAAAAATGGTTTTTTAATAGAAATGGGTAGGAGATTGTGGGACGCAAATTTTTTGAAAGGTGTAAATCTTTTTGGGACGGAGGGAGTATAAAATAAGAATGATGAGTTTTTATTCATAAAATAGAGCACTGAGAGAATATGACATCGTGTATTGACATTCCGCGGTATTCTTTTGGGATTGTATGTTGGCATTATTTGTCATTGCATATTTTGGGGGATAAAAAACATAAATGTCTTATCTTATTTATTTTCCTATGTTTTATTAATATTTTAGTCTTTGTCCCGTAATAAAAAAACTAAAATATGAGTAAAACATAAAAAAAAGTTCAGAATAGAACCATTATACTTTATCTTCAAAATATGACCTATATCACATTGTGATATATATTTTCATTATATATTGATATTTTATAATATTTTTGAATTTCATATTTTGACATTATTAGCAATATACTCTCTCTGTCGTGAACTCCTTTTCAATTAGTTTCTAACAATTGTTTCACTTTTTATTTTCCTAGTAAATTAGAGAATGTGCGATACATCATTTTTCTCTTTCTTCTAAGCAATTTATAACTACTTTTAACTTTTCAAAAAAAATTGATTGACTTTGTGAATTCAAACTCAGACAATAAATCAAACACAAAAAATATAGGACTAAAGACACTGTTATTTTGGATTGGAAAAATTAAGTTCTAACTTTCTCCAACTCTTTTCAATTATTTCTAACTTTTTTCAATTTCTTCCAATTTATTCAAATTTCTTCCAACTAACAACTTAAAAATGTATTATATGGTGAACATACAATAACGTTATATATATCCAAATTTATAACATACCACCACGAACACGGAGAAGGATGAATTCTTTTTTATCCAAAATAAGAGTTTTCTTGCATTTTTTGGGTTATTATTTAATTGAATGACTTAAATTTTTATCACTTTAATTTTTTTAATATTTTCTAACTTCTACTCCCTCCGTCCCCAAATAAACTTCCCCTTTCGTTTTTTCTGTCCCCAAATAAACTTCTCTTTTCCCTTAAAAAACCCCTTTTACCCCTTACTTTTTCATACTCTACCTATCACATCATACCTTTTTACTAATAATCTACATATCACATCTTACTTTTACACATCACAACAAGAGTATTTTTGGAAAGTCAACACCAAAATATCCCTCCCTTAAATCTTAAAAAAGTCAAAAAAGGAAGTTTATTTAGGGGCGGAGGGAGTAATTTTTTTCTAACTTTTTCCATGTTTCCAACTTTTTTCTGTCTTCCAGCATTTAAATTCGAACCTAAAAAAACATAGCCTAACTCTATAATACTTCCACCGTCCCATAATCATCTTATTTCTATTCTAATTCGATTGTCTAAAAAAATCATCTTTATTTTCCTTTTAAGGAAATAAACATGTGATTCATGTATATTTTCTTTTCCTTAAACAAATCACAACTAGTAATATTCTATTTTATTAGATATCGTGTCAAATCAACTTGAAAAATAATTCTGAGACAAAGAAAGTAGAGAATAAACACAAAAGATATTTATGGGAGGGAGATGATATAAATTTTCACACGTGCCTTGGTAGGGATTCTAGGGAATCAAATAGTCAAAATGCGACTGTACAAAAATAGATCACCACTGTACAACGCCACCCACTTCGGTCAACGTTCTCAACAAACGTTGACCCTGTACCTCGACCACAACTGGCTTTTGAAAAAATCAAATCAAACATTTATACTCCTTATATACGGAATCGTATATCTAATGGTACTCTTACTTTTACATGGCACTGTTTGGTCATATACTCCATCCGCCCGCTCATTTTTTATCTAGTCAAACTTTAATCACCTTCTTTACCTATTTTCATTAGGTATTTGATAAAATAATATAGTCTTGTCACCACTTGCTTTGTAGAACTTTTGATATAGTTTATAAATATATTAATTTTATTTTTTAATGTTACACCTACAATCAAATAAATTGAATTGAAAATAAAGTCGGTCAAACCTTGTAATATGAACCGGGAAGAACATTATAAGACGGAGGGAGTATAAGATTATAAGACTTGACGGACGGTAATTCGGTGTAAATTAAAAAAAAAAGAAATGAGAGAATCCAATAATAATGGTAAAAATTAAAGAAAGAAAGAAATATTGAATTTTTGAGAATTTATGGGAGGGGTTTTTTGTGTTAATTTTCCAAAAATATCATTGATGTGATGTGTAAAAGTAAGATATAATGGATAGATTATTAGTAAAAAGGTATAATGTGATTGGTAGGGTTAAAATTAGTAAGGATAGAAGCAATTTTTAACATTTAAAGAAAAGAGTTTGTGGGACAAGAAAAAAAAGACGAAAGAGTTAAAGGACAGACGAAGTAAATATTTCTTGCAAACGCGGACTATAAATCCCTTTTCCAAATTGATAAAAATGGTGCATGGACTAGGGGTGTTCAAAAATATCCGATCCGAAATATCCGTCCACGATCCGGGCCGATCCGATCCGAAAAATGGATATCCGATCCGATATTTTAGCTTTCGGATATTTCGGATCGAATACCCGAAAAAAAATCGGATCGGATATGGATTCAATTTCTGGAATTTTTCGGATAACCGGATATCCGATTTTTTTTTTGCTTTATATTTTTGGAATTTTATGGATATATATTATGACTATATGTTTAAATGTAAGTTTATGTTGATTTTGGAACTCAACCATTTTGGACTTTTTGCATTAGCATTTTAGAATCTTTAGTTTTAATAATGTTTTTTTGTTTGTTTAGGCAAAATTACCAAAGTTACTCCCAAATTAAATTTGATATTATTTTTTTATTAGNTAGTGGTGAAATTTTTCTTTTAGTAAATCTATATTGAATTTGATATTTTGGGTTGATTTTGCTATTTTACCTTTTTTTTTGTAAATTTTGGCTAAAAACTCAACTTTTTGGATAATTCAGTGATCCGATCCGAAAAATCGGATATCCGAATTTCGGATATCCGAATATTTTCGGATCGGATATGGAATGAGTTTTACATGATCCGAAATTTTCGGATATCCGAATTTTCGGATCGGATCGGATCGGATCGATCCGATTGAACACCCCTAGCATGGACTATGAATATTAAGGAGTGTTATAAAACCAGGACGCGTGGTCGGGCAGTCGAACTAGTTGAACCACAATCCAGACACGTAATCAGTCTTTTCAATCCCGCAAAAATTTGGAAACAATTGGATTGATTAAAAAAACCATGACCCAACCTCCTTGCCAGTATATATATTAAGTATAGATATTCTAAGTGTTTTCAAATTTGACACCAATTTTAATACTCCCACAGTCTCACTCTTTTTGTCCACTTTCATTTTTGCACACCATCCAATGCACTTCTTTAATCCATTTTATCTTGTAATTTGTATATTAAAAAATTATATATTAATAATCTATATGTTAAGACAAATCAAACAAGATCACACATGACTATTTTTAGACTTACACATTGAGAGAATTTGATGAGTCAAAGTGCTTAGATGAATAGTTCCAAAAGTCAAAACTGGACAAAAAGAGTGGGACGGAGGTAGTAACATATTTCTGGCTCATACATATATCTTGCAATGTCTTGCAAAATCTACTATATACTCCCTCCGTCCCTAAATAAAGTTCATCTTTCATTTTTTCTTTGTCCCTAAATAAACTTCTCTTTTCCCCTAAAAAACATCTTTTACCCCTTACTTTTTCATACCCTACCTATCACATCATACCTTTTTACTAATAATCTACCTATCACATCTTACTTTTACACATCACATCAAGGATATTTTTGGAAAGTCAACACAAAAATATTGCTCCCTTAAATCCTCAAAAAGTCAAAAATGGAACTTTATTTAGGGACGGAGGGAGTATATAAAAGGTGATGAGAAATCAGGTTCCAATTTTGCCGCCAAAAACTAAGATCTAAGGGTCCAATTTCTATCTAAATACTCTGCACAAATCTAGACCATTGATTAGATGAAATGGCAATTGTGTAAAAAAAAACAAAATTGATGGCTATTATTATTATTGAAATTTAGCAGGGCAACCCCCTTCCCCTCCAATATCTATCCTGCCCCAATTCTAGAGAGAAGAAGAAGAAAGGGCAAAAGAAAAAAAATGGTAAGAGAAAGTGGGGCGGCAGCAAGGAGGAAAGAGGAAGGCGAAGGAGGAAAATTTGATTACGAATTTGATTTAAAAATTACACTTTTGAAATCATTTTATTTACAAATCGGTATATTTATAAGAAATAAAAATTACGGAGTACATATTAGTAAAAAACTACGTCAAAAGTTCTATAAAATAAGAGGTGACACAAATGTTTTATTTTATCAAATACTTAATGAAATTTTGTAAGCAAACAAAAATTATCAAGAAAATAGAGAAAACAATTGTAATCAAATTGGGGACGGGGGATGTAGAAAACTTAGAGCTATTTAGCTTAATTCATTTTAACAAATAAAATTTATTTAAAAAGGAAACAAAAATTATTTGTAGACGGATCGAAAAAAGAAAGTGTGAACTTTAAAATTCAATGCAAGGAGTATTAATTTGTGTACTAGCATCTGGGGTGTTCATCGGTTCAAGATCAGACCGACCTGGACCGAACCAAAGACCGAATTAATTAAAGTCACTAACCAAAGATCGAACCTAAATCTATTCGGGTTTGGACTGGACTAGACCGAAATATATTTATGACCAAACTGGTCCTGACCGAATAAAAATCTATTTTTAAAATTATTTTGATCAATTAAATAGATTTTAGATTTTGATGGTTTGTCTTTCAAAAAAAATATTTTTGGCTTTTTATTTTGTATCGTACAAATAGAGCAAAAAATTTACAATCTAAAAATAGATACACAACATGGACTACTTTTATGTAGAATAATAAAAACTACGGTAAAACTTCTTTTTAAACTTTTTTTTAAAAAAATTCTTAACGATATGTATGGTGAAACTCATTCTTTTATGTTTGTATAGTACACTCTAAAACTCATTCTTTAAAAAAAAGAAGTTTTTAAAGAATGAGTTTTAGAGTGTACTATATTCAAACATAAAAGAATGAGTTTTAAATAGATATACAAACATAAAAGAATGAGTTTTAGAGTGTACTATATTCAATACATAATATGAAATTAAATGAATATTAAGATATATAAATGGAAGGCGGACATATATAATATTTATAAAATAATTTCCAACTTTAACATTTTACATGTTTTTTTGCTATTAGGATAAGTTTTTCTTCCCGTGCATCGCGCGGGTGATGCACTAGTTAACTTTGAAGGTGTAATTGAAGGGTGGAGCCTGAAGGTGTGTTCGGGTCGGGGTTGAGTGGGACACCTTATCGCCCTCGGGCATGGGTGGCCCGGAGGGTGTGCAAAGTGGTCAACCGCACAGGGCCCCTTAAAATTTAGGGCACCATATTTTTAAATTTGTTAATAATTTTAAAGCAAAAGTATTCTAAAAATATAAAATAGGGCACAAAATATAAATTTGGGACCGGGTCGATTTTATTTTTTCATTTTTTGGGGCCGGCCCTGCCCTCGGGACACCAGTTTTACGAACGAGACACCTTATCGCCTTCGGGTGATCCCATGATATGCCTTCGGTTAGATTATATTCTAGAATATGACTATAGTAATAATTTTAATAACTCGTAGATATTAAAGTCAAGTAACTGAAACTTTGGGTTTGAATAATTAAAATATAAAGTTATATGAATGAATCAATGTTCCATTCCTAAACAAGGAAAAAAATAAAAGTACAAGTATAGAATTTACATATACTATTACCCGTCCCAAAATAATTAATTATACTTTTTACTATTCAAAAGTAACACAAATTTTAACTTATTAGTACATTTTGGTTGATTATTTAATACTTGCTCCATCCCAAAAAAAATTTGTAACATCTTTTTTTGTAAATTTTTGATATAAATTTTTTAAATATATAAATTTTATTTTTAATTTTAAGACAGACTAAGTACAAGTCAACCATATGAAAAGTTAAAATGACGGATTAGAAACCGAATTTTACAGATATCAACCACAATCTCCACTGCATAAATCGTACATATTCAATTCATTGCTGACAAAAGATAAAGGTCGCCCTTCGTACATTATTGTTGGAAAAATATTGACTTTATATCATACTTACATTCCTACCAACACTCCAAGTATATTATTGTTTCCTCAATTAAAAAAATATTCCATGCATCTCAGAAAATATTTATACTTTCTTTTTTAATCCGTTTCAAAAAATTTTTTATTTTTATTAAAAAGTTTTTTTATCTCTATTAATTCATAATCTATCTATTAAATCATATCAATTTATGATTAATCTACTCATCAAATTTTACTTTTACTCATTACTTTCAAAGAATATTTTTGAAAACTCAACACCAAAATACACTCGCTTTAAATCCTTTAAAAATTAAGATCTTACATTTTTTCATGGAGTATATTATTGTCATTTTTTTAAGAATATAGAGTCAAAAGCCATGGTATCTTTTGAATTATGTTTCTTGGTATTGGGAGATTCCTAGAGGTGTGGGTTATTAATGTATTGGTCTTCTAGATTAATGAATATGGACTTTATGGAGTATGATTTATAAATAAAAAAACAAAGAGAAGAAGATTACCTTGAAGAGTTGCTCCAAAGAGTGGTCATGCTAGGAATGAGTTTAGATTCGAGTGGTGGCAGAGCGGCGGCAGCTTGGCCAATCAATTGGCGTACTCCGGCGGCGGAATAATCTCCTCCGCCGCCACTGCCCATCGACGACGACTGTTCTTCTTCCACCGAGCCATCCGATAGCCCTTCAATGCCAAGTCCCAACATTTAAAAATTTGGGAAAAGTAAAATTTACTCCCTCCGTCCCATGAAACCGTTCTCCTTTCTTTTTTTATCTGTCCCACAAAACACTTCTCATTTCTATTAAAAAGTCACTTTTACCCCTTACTTTTTCATACCCTAATTATCACATCATACCTTTTTACTAATAATCTATCCATCAAATCATACTTTTACTCATCACATAAAAGGACATTTTTGAAAATTCAATACCAAAATACACTCACCTTAAATCCCTCCTAAAAAGCAAAAGTCTCATATTTTATGGGACAGAGGGAGTACTAATTTAGTTTGGGATGGAAATAATATTCCCATAAGTATCTCAAAAATTTGAAATTTTATATGAATATTCGAAGATTGCATGCTACTTTTGTCCCGAAAATAATTATTCATTATTTTGCTCGATAAATTTTGTTTATTTGTATCTTTTCATAGATTATTTGATAACACTATATATTTGTGTCACCTCTTGTGTTACCCAAAAAGTATAGGATTTTACTTCGTAATGCGAAAACAGTAATCTAATTTAGGACGGAGAGAACAATTTTATGGGATACTGTGGTTTGCTAACATTTAACAAAAAAACTAAAGTAAAAGTAAAATATTGAAAATATATTAAAATAGGAGTTTTATATTTTCCCCCGAGATAAGAGTTAAAATGCATTTGCAATGTTAATCATGGCAATATACACTTATACATTACAAAAAGATATAGTCAAATATATATTTACAGTGTCACATTTCCACAGTGCAAACTTCTATTTAAAGGAAAAAATATGGAACTTCTATTTTGATACTTTCTCTATATTTATTCCTATTTAGGGTGATTTCTTAACATTTAAATTTTTTACATGAATACTTAAAAATTACGGAGTACAAATTAGTGAGAGATGCTCAAATCATTAAAAAAATACAGTAGATATCAATGAACCAAATTATCCAAAATTCAATATAATGGTTGTAGGTCAAGAAAAGGTTTTATACTACAACATGTTCCCTCACATGCTAGCAAGATTTGTATTTGCTCGAGCCTTGCACATGAATATTAATTTTTTATCGGTGTGACAGTGAAATCGTTAAGTTTGGACTTGTAACGACTTAGTCAATAAGACTCTAATACCGTTGTAAGTCCAAAAAATCTTTTATTCTCTTAAAGTAAATGATTCATGCATGTACATTAGAAATTCTATGAAGTATTATTGTAAAACTATCACTAATTTCATTCATAAATAATCTTCTTATTTTGAATCCTTGATGTTTGAATAAAAGTATTTTTAATGTAATATACTCCGGGGTATTTAAATATTAGTACAAAATTTGAAAAAAAGCTTATGTATATAAAACTATGTCAAAAGTGATATGAGATAAGATGTGACATAATTATACAATTTTATCAAAAGAAATTAAAGGTAAATTACCAAATGTTACCAACTTGTTTTCTTTGCGGAAACGAGTCAAATGACAACCTGACCACTTTTTTGAATCCTATTACTCCATCCGTCCCTTTAAAAAATTTCTGTTTTGATTTTTTGAAGATTTAACGGAAGTGTATTTTGGTATTGACTTTCCAAAAATACTCTTTGATGTGATTGATAAAGTAGGATGAGATGGATAGATTAATAGAGAAAGAGTGTGTTAAAGAGCATCCCACATCGGAAAAGTGTGAGGAAATTAATCGGTATATAAGCTCTTGAGTTGAACTAACTAATCGATTGGATTCAATCTTTTAATGTGGTTCAACCCAAATGTCTTATTGTCAAATCCAGTTGTCCATATCCCATCCTAAATTCTATCAAAGTGTGATGTGATAGGTATGTTAAGAATTAGTAGGGGTAAAAGTGACTTTCTAAAAAGAAAAGGAAAGTATTTTTGGGATGGATGTAAAAAGAAAGGGGAACTTTTTTGCGGGACGAAGGGAGTAATTCTTTTGTTATTTCCATCTTTAAATATTTGTTGAGTGCTTAATATTTTTAGGTAAAATTGAAAATTTTTTACTTTTAATTAAATAAAATTGATTTTGGATATATTAAGAGAAAAAACTGTTTATTAGATGTATTTTTTAAAAATATTTTTAAAATATTGTTCTATCTAATTAATACATATACCATATATTTTTTTAAATTATATGGTAAAAGTTCAAAGTTGTAAACTACTTGTACAAAAAGTAAAATCTGAACAAATATTCAGGGACAAAAAATGTAGTTCGTATCGTATAATATTAGATCTAATATATCTTTTCAACATATATTGAAGAACAAATTAAGAATCAACGCCCCATCTATGTTCAAAACTGCAAATTAACATTAAAAAAACAAGTTTTTTTTAAGACTAAAAATAGGAGAATAAATTTACCTGATGAGGCTGCGGCAGGTTTGCTGCTCGTCGTTTTAACAGTTCGATACATCTGCATTGGTGTTTTAATAACCATAAAAAAATTATTTAGGCATAATAAATATTTAGGTAAAACTGTTAAATGATAAATAATTGTCTGCATTTATTCACTCTTTTAAGCATCTAAAAAATTAAACTCTTTCTTCTAGGTAAATTGTACTCACATAAAAATTGTGGTACATAGAAAAATGAATGAATGTAAACATAAAATTTGCCTATGTTAATCCCATGAGAAGGTTTTAGATTAGAGTTTCTATTTGTCTCTAAAAGTAATTATTCTTAGCATTTGAAAAAATATTATTATGTTGTACTTCATTCGTCTCAAAAATTCTTTTCCTTTTCTTTTTTTCTTGTCTCACAAAATTTTTTCTTTTTTTTTATTAAAAAACTACTTTTATCCATACTAATTCTTAATCTATCTACCATATCATACCTTTTTACAAATAATCTATTCATTACATTGTCTTTTTACCTATCATATCAATACTATTTTTTGAATACATTAATCTCTCCTTAAATTTCTTAAAATTCAAAATTAAAATATCTTTATGGGAGGGAGGAAGTATATAATTTCTCTCCCTTCAGTATCTTTTTCAACAACTTGCTTCGTCTCTAAATGATTGCCACAATATGATTTTTTGGTCAAATTATGGCACCCTTTGACTATGAATTAAATAAGTTTAAAATAATTAAGTATTATAAAAATTTAATATTTCAAAACTATATTTGAAAATGAACCCAATTTTATTAAATTTACATTATCAGTAAATACTCCCTCCGTCCCGGAGTATTCGTCCAGTTTTGACTTTTGGAACTGTTCATCTAAGCACTTTGACTCATCAAATTCTCTCAATGTGTAAGCCTAAATATAGTCATGTGTGATCTTGTTTGATTTGTCTTAACATATAGATTATTAATATATAATTTCTATAATTTTTTAATATACAAATTACAAGATAAAATGGATTAAAGAAGTGTATTGAATAGTGTG